TATTCATAAACATATATAAACCTATTATAAACCCTGATAAAATAGGTGGTACAAAAAAAAAATGAAGCAAACATTAGCAGAATTTCCAAGCAGAAATAACTCTACAACAATTGTAGATTTTAATACAACACTTTCAACAATGAATAGAACAACTATAATAGAATAAAAATGAATAAGGAAAGAGAAGACTTGAATAACACTACAGACTAATTGGACCTAATGGATATATACAAAAATACTTTAAAACCAACACCAAAATGTACAGTTTCCTGACATGTACATGGGACAGTATCCATAATATACTATATATTAGTCCATAATACCAATCTTAAACTTCAAAAAGGTTGAAATCATGCCAAGTATCTTTTTCTGATCACAGTAGAAATCAGTGACAGAAGGAAAATGAGAAAATTCATATATTTGTGCAAATTAAAACACTCTTAAGCGATGAATTTGTCAAAGAATAAATCACCAGGGAAATTCAAAAATATCTGGAGGCAAGTAAAATTGGAAACAGAACATATTAAAATGTATGGGATATAGCAAAATCAGTGCTAGGAGGAAAGTACATAGCTGAAAGTATTTACATTAAAATAATAAAGGTCTCAAATAACCTCATTTTACTTCTTAAGTAAATAGAATAAAGAAGAATAAACTAAATACAAAGCTAGTATAAATAATAAAAATTATGGGAGGAATAAAAATAGAAAATAAAAAAGTGAAAAATCAATGAAAACAAAAGTTCGTCCTTCAAAAACATCAACAAAGCTAACAACAAACCTTTAGCAATAATGACAAAAACAAAACAAGCAAATAGAAAATAAAAAACTAAAATAGAAAATTAAAAAGGGAAATTCCTGGGTTTGGATCTGAGGTCAACTTGAATATAAAGGGCATACCCACTTTCTCTTATAAAAGATAGCAATAGATGAAACTTGGGGGTGTACAGAGGAATTGACATGAATTCTTCTCACACTCTTCAAAAATTTGAACAGGAGGAATATCTCTTAACTCCTTCTCTGAGGTCATTTTATTCTGACAACAAAGAGAAAATGACACTACAAGAAAACTACAGGCCAATATTCTGCATGAATATTAATGCAAAAATCATTATCAGAAAGCTAGCAATTTGAATTTAACAGCATATTAAAAAGGATTCAAGATGGTATGACATACAAAAATAAATTAATGTAATACAGACTAAAAATTAAAAAGCTATATGATCATATTAGACTAGGCAGAAAAAGCATCCTATACCCTTTTATGATAAAATCCCTCAACCAATTAGAAATAGAAGGAAACTACCTTTACAAAAATAAATACCATATAAAAGTTCATAGTTGTCATTATATTCAATTATAAAAGACTGAAACCTTTTCCTCTGTGATTAGAAAAAAATACGATATCCACTTTTACCACTTCTGTTTCATATAGTACAGAAAGTTATAGCTAGAGCAATCAGACAAGAAAAAGAAATAACAAGAATATAAATTGAAAAAGAGAAGTACGAGTATCTCTATTCACAGAGAATGTCCTCTTACATGCAAAAATTTCTGAATGCATGTGCATATGTGAACACATACACTCACATACATAGAAACATACAAATTGGTAGAATTAATAAGCAAACTTAAAAATTTTCAGGATTCAAAACAAACCCACATTATATTTCCATAATCTAAAAATGAACAACCCAATAGGGAATTTAAGAATATAATTCCATTTATAACAGTGTCAAAAGGGATAAAATACTTAAGAATAAACTTAACCAGGAGGCAAAAGAATTATAAACTAAAAACTACAAATCACTGCTGAAAGAAATTAAAGAAGACAGAAATAAATGAAAAGACATCTAATGTTCTTGGATTGGAAACTATTTATTTATTTATTTATTTAATTTATTTATTTTAGAGATTTTTGCTATGAGATTGCCAGAAAGAGAGAGAAAAAGGGAGAAATCACCATCCAGGGAGTACGATTCCTTTTCCATTCTCCTCTTGGGATTTTGGGCACACATGCACAATTGCCTGGCCTGAGTTTCAAGCCACAGGGTACAGAACTTAAACCATGGTAAGCCATGTCAAAGTCCAGCAACATAACTATTTTGTCATCTGTTGGTCTCTAAAACAATATTTTTAAGATATCACTCAAGGGGCCAACTGGAGGCATAGTGGTTAAAGTGCCAGACTCCCAAGTGGTAGACCACGGTTTGAATCCCAGATCTAGTGGCTTGAAATTCATGCCAAGGGAATGTGTATACATGCCCCAATTCCCAATAGGGGAACGGAGGATGAAGGGACTGTGGTGTGACCATCCCCCTTGGGGGGTGATTTCTTGTTTTCTGTCTTTCTGTGTCTCTTCAGTAAGCACTTGTGCCATATAGCAAAAATCTCTCAAAAAATAAAAAGAGAGAAGCCATTCAAAATGATCTACAAATACAATACAATCCCTATCAAATGCTAATGATTTTTTTGTGGAAATAAAAATTTATCATAAAATTCATGTGTAATTTCAAGGAACTCTCAAAAGCAAGCAAAAAATATTGAAAAATAGAATAAAGTCAAAGATTTCACACATTCTCACTTCAAAACTTACGGTAATCTAAATAGTTGTGTCATACAAACAGTCATATAGACTGATAATAGAATAGCCCAGATAGAAACTCTTGCATATATGATTTTTAACAAGAGTTTCAAAAACATTCAATGGAGAAAAGAACAGTCTTTTTAACAAAACATTGGGAAAACTACATATCTATATGCAAAACATGAAACTGACTCTATAATTGCCAAAGGACATGTATGTTTCCAGAGAGAGAGTAAGAGAGCACCCCCAATTTAGTGTGAACAACCATAATACTTTTTCCAACATTTCTCCATCCCACCAGGATGCACTTGCACCTACATGTTCTTCAAGTCATTCTTCAAGCCATTCTTCAAGCCATTCTTCAAGCCACTAGGACCGTAATTTGAATCACAGACAGCTGTGTGGGATTCAACACACTTTGATGCACATTTAACAACTACACTATGAGGCCAACCCATGAAGTTGGACTTTACCTTGTATTACATATATAGAAAATTAATCCAAAATAGCTAAAAGACTTAAACATAATAGTTAAAGCTATAACACTCTTAGAAGAAAATTGGACAGCTTCATGACATAAGATTTATCAATATTTTTTGGATATTATACAAAAGAAGCAGGTGACAAAAGAAAAAAGATGAAAGTTGGACTTAATCAAAATTTAAGAACTTTTCTATGTCAGAGGACAATATCAACAGAGTGAAGAGTCAACTGACAGAATGGAGAAATATTTGCACATCGTATTATCTGATAAGAGATAGACCGATATCCATAATATATAAAGCAATTCTACTACTTAACAACAACCAAAAAACTCCCAAAGAACCCAATAATGAAAAGGGCATAAATCTTTTTTTTTTTTTTTTTTTGGAGATGTTTTTGCTATAGGGTGCATGCTCTCTCCAGGAAGACGGAGAGAGACAGAGAAAAGGAAAGCAAGAAATCATCCCCAAGGGTGATGGCCATGGCATAATCTCTTCTCTTCCATTCTTCTCAGGATCTTGGGCACACATGCACATGCTCCTGGCATGAGTTTAAGCCACCGGGTTCGGGACTGGAACTGTGGTCGACTACATGGGAATTCAGTGACACAGCCATTATGCTAACTGCTGGTCCTGAACAGACATTTCTTTAAATGACAAATTAAAATAGACAAATGCATAAAAAGATGAAGATGTATAATAGTATTAATCATTAGAAGAATGCAAATTAAAATAATAAAGAAATGTCAATTAGTGCCGATTATGATGGATATATATATATATATCCATATATATATAGAATGTGGAGCAATTGAAATGCTTGTGTACTGTTAATGAGAATGTAAAATGTTATAGCCACTGTGAAAAACAAGTTCATCCCTCTGAAACAAAAATAGAATTATCATATGATCCAGAAATTCTATTTTTAGGGTATAAACCCATAGTTATTAAAAGTAGATTCTTAAAGAGCTACCTGAATACTCATGTTTGTAGCAGCATTATTTACAATGTGTAAGTAACCAAGTGTCCATTAATGAATGAATAGATAAAATATGGTATCAGTTAGCTTTAAGGAAGGAAATTCTGACACATGCTACAGTATAGATGAACCTTGAAGACATGATGCTAAGTAAAATAAGTAAGTCACACAAGAACAAATATTGTATGATCTCACTTGTATGAGATACTTAAAGTAATCAAATTTTAGAGTAGGAAAGCAGAATGGTGATTGCCAGGGACTAGAAAGTAATTGGGAGTTATTGTTTAATGAGTATAGATGGAGATAAAGAAAATTTAAAAGTTCTGGAAATAGATGTTGTGATGGTTATACAATAATATGAATGTACTTAATACAACAGAAGTATTTGAATTTTTAAATATAATATATAAAATACAAATATTACTAAATGTTAGCTCAATATGATCTTTGCTAATACGTTTTCTTCTAATTATCAACTTCTAATCAAAATAAGATACTGTATAATCATGAAATAGTTTCCTGAATATGTAATATCTAGAAAATACTCAATTGGAGGCTGGCAGGTGGCATGGTGGTTAAGGTGCTGGACTCTCACATGGCCAACCATGGTTCAAGTCTTGGACCTGGCAGCTTGCTTTCTCACACTCCTCTCTCTCTGGTCAAACTGAATAACAATAATAAATAAATAAAACTGAATAAATAATTCTTTAAACAAAGAAAATACTCATTGAGATAAGTACATTTTATCTAGAAGTCTCAACACATATTTTATAAACACTTGTAGTTACTGTGTTGTCAAAAATTAAGTCATGGTGTATTTTTGCATAGAAAAATATAGAAAAACACATCATGACTTTTCCAACAACCCAAAATATTTCAAAATTAATATGCTTAATTTCTAATCATTTTAGTCATCAAAATATGTTCATTAAACACAAATTCATGTAACTAACCTTTTTGAATAAGATGTCTTGATTTTTTTAATTTCATGTCTTTTGCTTTTAATTCATGTAGAATAGAAGAAACATGTTTCCTATATTCATTAGACTTGTTTGAATCAATAGTATATATATTCTGTAAAAATAAAAGCAGTGACAACTGACAATACTGTATATGATTCAGAGTTCTATAAGGGTGCTTATATGCATTACACATTATCATGATTGCTTTTCATTTAAAAACAGTAACAAAGGTCTGTGAAGTAGGCAGTTAAGAAAAATTGAAAAGAATTTTATTGCATATAATTTTGATAGGCTGTCCTTGTATTAAAAATTAATGACATATGTTGCCAATACCATAAAGGAGATAAAAAAAAAAACCTGCCATGCATGTGCCATGACCAAAAGATCAAGGTTGGAAGAGAAATAGAGATTCAACAAAGAGGCAAGCAAAATAATGTTATCCAGAAAGTCTGAAGGAAGATTTAGGGTAGAAAAGGAAGGGACAAAATGATTTCACAGAATGCTACGAGACAGTAACAGAAAAAAAAAAAAGTAAATGTATATATTTATATGTATATGTATATATGTCTGTGTGTATGAAGAAAGGGAGGGAGATATGGAAGCAGAATTATCACAAGTTAGTTTTTGTTTTTGTTTTTGTTTGTTTGTTTTTGGAGAGGTTTTCGCTATAGGGCGCATGCACTCACCACACAGACAGAGAGAGACATAGAGACGGAAAGCAAGAAATCACCCCTCAGGGGGGATGGTCACGCTGCAATCCCTTCTTCTCCATTCTCCTCTCGGGATCTTGGGCACACACCCACATGCGCCCAGCATGAGTTTTAAGCCACCGGGTCTGGGACGCGAACCGCGGTCGACTACGTGGGAGTCCAATGACATAGCCATTACGTTAACTGCTGGTTGCCACAAGTTTTTAAAGTACATATGGATTAGTTATGTGTGGGAGGAATATTGAAGAGGAAATTCATGGGAGATTGGAGCTTGTCAAGTGTAACCCAAATAATTATTTTTAAGTGGTTGAGAATGTAAAAATACTCTGCTTTCTCCTTTTCCCTTCATAACTGATCCAGGACAATTAGAGAAGCTTCTCTAGATCAAGGTCAGTTCTTTGAAAATTTCTTTATTATCTCTATTTTACTGCATCTGCATGACTTCTATTTCCAACGTTTTCCCATGAGTCATGATAGCTACTAAAGCTCCAAATACCACATCTACATTTCAATCCAGAAGATGGAGGAAAATGTAATGAAAAAAGGCATATGCCATGAAAGAGGCTGGCTAGGCAGTTAGGCATTTGGGAAGCCATGATAGAATGCTGACAAAAAGGGGGTTACTTAAAGCCAGCCAGCTGAGTTCTATTCTTTGAGAACTTACATCCCCTCCTTCCCTAACCCTTGGCCTTCCAGACAAAACTATTCCTGACCTCCCCACAAGACACACAAAAGAACATTTAGAGTCGAAGCCTGGTACCTGGTTATTTCTTAACTCTATAATCTATGTAAATCTGAGAGAAAACTCAATTGGGCCAAAGGAAACTATGAAATAAGCTCAAAATACACAGAAAATGGTACCAGAGGAAATTACTTGCTCCAGGGGACCAAAATTGCACCCATAGCAAAAGGCTAAATAATATAAAATCTTTGTGACTGTTAATCAATACTTTCTTGTAATAATAATAAAAAAAGCCTTACAAAGCTTAAGGTTTTGTCATATGGGGGTTACTCATTCGAGAGCTCCCTTTTGAACTTTAAGATAGACACTTGAGTTGTTTGCTCACAAGAAACAGGTTGTAGCAGTAACTCAATGATTAACCTAGGTAGCTAGCATGACCTAAAACAAATATAGCAATTAAAGTTTCTTCCAGGTCCTATCACAGTCTGAGAAGATAATTTTTATGACCCAAAGTTTTTAGATAAAGTCTCCTGACCTTCACACACACTCCAAAATTAGGAAAAATAAGTGGACCCATTTAGCATGTGACTCCTACCATGAGGGGAACACATACACAAACTTCTCCAGAGAACAAATCCAGACGAAGCCCCTCCCAACTAAGATTAAACACTCACCTCAGTTCCTCTTCAGCAATCCATTTTCTGGAACCTGTCCCTGCCTGTCATGGAGCTGTTCTCTCCAATAAACTTGCTTTACTATCCCATCTACATCTCTAATTCCTCATGAGTGTGAGACAAAGAATCATGTTCACTGCTGTTCCTGCATTGGGTATTGGGCCCACATACCCCAACTTCTCGTGTCAATGAGTGTTACGGAGCTTTCCCTTTTTTTTTTTTTTTTAAGAGGTTTTTTCCTTAGGGTGTGTGCACTGAGAGAGAGAGAGAGAGAGAGAGAGAGAGAGAGAGAGAGAGAGAAAGACAGTGAGAGGGAAAACAAGAAATCATCCCCTCCTCCCCCAAGGGGAACAGCCATACTATAATCCCTTCTGCATTCTACTCCCAAGATCTTGGACATGCACATACATGCACCTGTGCACTGGGTTTGGGACTCAAACCGCAGTTGTCCATGTGAGAATCCAGTGACTACCATCTGCTGGCCCCTCTCAGAGGTTTTTCTAACAACTTATGTTATAATTTCTCATTGGCTGCCATTGCTACAAATGAAAGGGTAGAGAACATGAAGAATCCTTTGCTAGGTATTTGGCTGCATGGAATAAAATTGGAGCCTGTTACCAAGAAGACAAGAAAAGATATATTGAGAGTAGGCAAACAATAGTGTTTGCCACAGAGAAAAAATCAGAACCTTAGAAGGGGTTATTTTCGTATATAGGAAACCTTCCCCAGGATATACTTTTCTTAGTGAGAAACACTGATCTAAATTCTGACAACTCACAGATACTTATCTTGTAGATAGATCATTTTCTAAGATGTTTGCTTTTGTATATTTGTTTAGGAAATACTTACATAGTGCTTATTATTTGCCATTGTTTCAAACTCTTTACAGATATAAATTTCTAAATTAGTTTACTACTCATAACAACTATAATTGTGCTCTTTAACCTTAAGAAATTTAATAGGCATCTAATAATCTAGAGTATTAAAGGTAACTCTTTCCTCTAAATATATTATTAGGATGTATTAGAAGCTTTTGGTGATTGATAACGCCTTCATCCAAAAACAGCAAAATCAAATAAACTATTTGATATGTCAGACCTGGTAACTTTCTTTTGAAATAGGTAATTCATCCTCACATTTTTACCACTACTTTTTCATTACTTCTTTTACTTGTACTTGTTTAAATATCTTTCATTCTAAGATTAAGGAAAGATATTTGAATATACATCCTGATCCAGTGCTTATAATTATCTGCTAAAATCCCTATACCACAAACTATAGATATATTTAACTAAATATCCTAGAATTTCTATGTTTCAAACTTTATAAAAAATTTTCCCTAATTTATATATTGAAAACAACTGATTTAGTGACTGATAGTGAAAAGATTTTAATAATGTTCATTATTGGAACTTACTATTATCTGCTCCTGGAATAAATAAATCTCAGTTTTTATTCTTCATTGAAAAATCTTTTGTTCACCAACCTTTACACAAGACAATTTCTTTTCAGTCTACCTCATGATAAAAATGACTACTTTGCTAGAAATCCAAGTAACTAGGTTCTTTTGAGCTCACTTATTCTCCTTATATTTAAAATTTTTAAGGTTGCCAATAATAATAACTCAAAATATAAAAACATTATCAAATGTGATATTATTTCAAGCAATGTTGCTTCTATTTTCATTCTAATAAACAAGGATGACTTAAAAAAAACTAAAAAACCCATAGAACATTATTCTGCAGTTAAAACTACAATAATCAGTTCTAAATGCCTTTCAGTCTGAAATTCTTCCATAAGTCCTTCTCGAATTATCACCATTCTTTTATCTTCCTATTTCTATAGTTTTTGCTCTATTTCAGTAAGTTCTCTCTAACTCTCCTTCCAAACAATGCAAATCATCACATACTGAAAATCACCTGGGACCAGCTGCAGAATGCAGCCTTTAATGCTAAACCCACATAGCAAAATCCCAGGAAGCCAGCGTCTCCCTGTAATGAGAGGTATGCTTCTATTTTCATTCTAATAAACAAGGATGACTTAAAAAAACTAAAAAACCCATAGAACATTATTCTGCAGTTAAAACTACAATAATCAGTTCTAAATGCCTTTCAGTCTGAAATTCTTCCATAAGTCCTTCTCGAATTATCACCATTCTTTTATCTTCCTATTTCTATAGTTTTTGCTCTATTTCAGTAAGTTCTCTCTAACTCTCCTTCCAAACAATGCAAATCATCACATACTGAAAATCACCTGGGACCAGCTGCAGAATGCAGCCTTTAATGCTAAACCCACATAGCAAAATCCCAGGAAGCCAGCGTCTCCCTGTAATGAGAGGTAAGTGTATAGCTCCTAATCTAGGCTGGTTGAATTTGGAGTGAATTGTGTGTGAAAACCCTATTAAAGGTGCATCTTTTCCTCTGTCTCTCTCTCTCTAGGAGAAAATTTAAGTAAACTTTAAAAAATCATCTCAAGGATCACAGACAGTGGCATCCTGCTAAGGCACAGCTACTCAGAGGCTGAGACACATGAGAGGCCCAGTTCAACCCCAAACAGATTGGGTGCAATGATGTGCACCTGTAGTCCTCATTGGTGGGAAAGCTGGGGCAGAAGGACCCTGATGTGGTGAGACCCTGTTAATATTCAATCTCTCTCTCTCTTTCTCTCTCTCTCTCTCTGCTCTCTCTTTCTCATAATGAAACTTTAAAAAAGATGTCAAATTCCATTTGTACCATAGAAATTGACGCTTTTGGAGCTGGCAGGTGGCGTGGTGGTTAAAGGCACTGGACTTTTACATGGCCAACTCTGGGTTCAGTCCTTGACCTGGCAGCTTGTTTTCTCACTTTCTCTCTTTCTCTCTCCCTGTCCTTCTCTGGTCAACTTAAAATAAATAACATACAGTTAAATAAAATAACTCTTTTAAAAATTGACTCTTTCTTCTTAGATATCACACTTATTCCCTACCCATGAGAAAATAGTTTGTGCTCAACAACCCTGTTTCCACTAATACTGTTTTACAATGCCCTAAAAAAAAAAAATCTGTTAA